ACTATGTTGTCGTGGATCTCCTGTTTAACAACTAAAATTAAAAATAATTATAAATTACTTTTGCTGGGAACCACTAGCTCTTTTCCAAAACAAGGAAGGTGGTGAAAACACATGAAATGATTCAATATATTTTAAACTACTGAAAAAAATCACTTCAAGGGTTTTGTTGAAAGTTTTAATGTTGTCTGAGAAGTGAGAGGAAAGGTAATTGACTGCTAATAAGTAAAAAAAAAAGAGGGACAAGAAAGTGGTTTTGTCTTTAAGTAAAAATGTCTGGCTGTGCCAGAATGTGAAAGAAGATAGGAAAAGCTCAACTTGAGGGTATATAGTAAGTTGTAGAAAGCTCGAGAGGATGTGAATTTTATTTGTCTTGGTGTCTTAGTTACTTTTTAACTCATCGCTGAGACAAAATACCTGAGGCCCAAAGTTGGGAAAGGAAAGGTTTATTTCTTACAGTTTTTGGAGGTTTCACTCCACACTCAGTTGGCTCCAAGACAGGTGGGCATGGCTGGACCACAGTTCATGGCAGCCACTGACAGCAAGCTCAGAACCAGCAAAGAGAAAGACACACCTTCTTCCCGCCATTACATCACATCCTGGCTCCACCCCTATGTAGGTTGAGCACTGACACCATCAATCCAAGCACCAGACAATAAACCAATCACAAGTACACAATGCAAACTCATGAGGCCTGGGGGACACAGACATAAACCATGAGACTTGGTTTATAGTACTGCAAATAATAGGTTTGAAAAGAAGTAAATGTGTTCAGAATTTGACAGTATTAGATCAGTTTTGGTAGATTTATTCATAAGATTGGTGAACCTTTACTGCAAAATGTTTCCATTAAAATGAGATTATACTCCAAAAGGGGGAGGGCAGACTGAAGCCTTTTTTGTTAAGTATGTAATTTCAGTAAAATGATGGCCTGCTATGTGACACCCTGGAAAAAAGCGATGTGCCATCCCGATGAAGCTTGCTCTCTGCTCTGGAATGCCAAAACCATGTTTACATTACAGGCCGCTCAGAAAGGGCAGCAGGGCCAGCACTGTGGCAGAAGCCAAACTTAAACCTTTTTGCAGCCTATCTGTATTGCTAAACTCATAAATACCTTGTTGATTATATTTGACTCCTTCATACTTGCTCAATTCTACAGATACCTTCTACTATAGTCCAGATCCCACAACAAAAAGGCAAAATTTGACCTTCAAACCTCATAGAGATCCTAATATGGCTTTTCATGTTTTCAACAACAGAAACAACACTTGTGACACTTGGAGTTCTGAGACAGGTAAACCGACACAAGGTGGAGCTGCCTGGCCCTCCCCATGGATCATGCCTTAAATGCAGCAGAAGACATTGGGCAAGAGAGTGCCCCATCCTGGTGTTCTTTGAGACCTTACCCCAGGGCTACTGGACTGTCCTAGCCACCAGAGAGTGGGTAAGCCTAACTTCCAGCCCTCACAGGAAATGTCAACACTGCCAGATTCATCGCCAACAGATCTGCTTAAACTTGCTGCTAAAGACTGACAGGGCTCAGGGCCAACAGCAGCCCCCTTTATGGGTGTTCATCTCAGAGTCCAAGTTCCACTAAAAGTCTCAGGTAAGACATTCTCTATACTTGTGGACATAGAGGCCAAATGTACAGAGTTCTTCCTGAGTTTTCAGGCTGCTATATTAAGTCCTCAAATCTCTAGGAGGTATTAAAGGTCAACCTGTACCATTTACAATCAGGGCCTATTTCGTGCAGGTCCCAGTCCTAAATCTTAAAATGCCTTTTATTCCCTTGTGTTTATACAGGTTGACCCAGACACTGAGGTCTCAACAAGCTTCCACCTATCATCACTAGTAAACCTCTCCTCAGTGATATAAGACCACCTCCTTCCTTTCTTATTCACCAATTTCTCAGGCAACCCTGGTCAAGGCTGACAGATACATTTTGTCTTCTCACTTGGTTTACACTTTTTCAGGATACATGGAAGCCTTTCCCACAACCAGGGAAACTGCTGATATACTTGCCAAAGTCCTGTTACAGCAAATCATTCCAAGGACTACAACCAGGTTACAGCGACCCATACCTACCTGATATTCTTGGCAAACTGAACAATGATCAAAGTTCCTAGACTGCCATTCTGGTTTCACATCACTCAGGCCCCAGATCTAACCATCCTGTTGCCTGCTCATCTCTGCCTTACCAAGACCTCACAGCCATGACTCTTAGGCTGTCATGTTTTGTTATCCACTTTGGTTCCTAATTTCTTACTTTCTATTAATGATCATTCTTACAGCAGGACTCTTGACAGTCTTTCCTAAAGACTCCCACATCATACGTAAGATTATCCTCATAATGTTCTATGTGATGACTGTCTTAGTTCTTTCTACCCTCAGCTGTTTGGTTAAACGTGACATCCCTGAAAGCCTAGGCCCTTACCTTCCCTATACTGGTACAACTACCACCTTCCCTGCTCCCCCTATTTTTTTCCAGTTCAACTCCTGGACCAGAAACAAGTTTTGCCCACCTACCCTCTTAACTTTTATGCTTTCAGATGGGGAGTGATCACTTCTCATAACTTCATTCCTCCTAACCCCACGTTTAATTTTCAGAATTCTGCCTTACCGTGGAAATGTTTCTACCTCAACATCATACTGTTATAATGACATGTCTAAATCAAAAGCACCTTTCCTTTTACCTCACTTGGGTCCTTAAATATGACAGTGCCATGTCTCCTTATAACATCTTATTTCTTTGTTTTTCCAGTCTAACATACATGCATTCACCAGTGAAGTTGTCCTGGCTAAAACACCTGGCACCAGCTTCTGCATAGGCATCAACTGTCATCCTGTCAACTCCCCTAGACCCCAGTACAGCGCCCTCTGCCAGCAGGAAGCAGTTAAAGAGAGAAATATTCACCACTTTTCATAATAATAATAATCATAAGATGGGATATGAAAGAGTTTTGGCCCAGGACAGACACTGTAGCTCGAAAAGCCTCAGCTGGAACCAAGGAGTCCTTATCTCCCCAATCCCTAGGAGTTTACCTATGGCTCTATCTTCTGCACCCCTAGGAATTTACCTATGGCACCAAAAAAAATACCAATGGGCTACTTGTGCATCCCTAATGCCCCTCAGGCACCACCCCTAACCTAAGCTACATATATGCCCCCACTCCACATGTTCCACGGAGATATCGCCGACCCCAGGGGAGATGCCATGCCCCAGGGGATCGGGGGTGTCTCTCCCCGCATTCTCAAAATAAAGGTCATTTATATTTCATACTTCTTATCTTTTCAGCCACTGCCAGTCCCCCACAGTTTTATCAGGGACCATTTCCTCTCCAGGCATCAGCTACAGAGCAAACTTGACCTTTCCCTTAGGACTGGATACTGGGCTCTGACCTCTGCTCAGGACACATTCATAGCTCCAGGCTTCCATGAGAATACCCAGGTTCAAGGACTGTTAAGAGGCAGCTCAGGGCAGGACTTGGACTGTGTACCAGGGAGGGGCCTGCATGTAAGGGAGGAGGCAGAGAGGGACTGGCAGACAGAGCCTGGCCCTGAATTACCTGGCCATGAATTACCCCATCCACTCCTCAGGGCTGGGAGCCGTGAGTATCCCGGCCTCTTAGCGGGAACCCTGGCCTCGTTAAGCAGGACCACACAGGCTTATCAGACACAGGTGGAGTAGTGGCTGCTCGGGGCCAGCAGCTCCCTCAATCCTCTTCCCAGCACTGGCCAGGCTGCTGTCTTGCTTCAGGGGCCCCATGTCTGATCCCTCCACTGTGGGGTGCCCCGTGCCTCCTCTCTCCCTACAGCACCGCAGGGCCCCTTCCTCATATGACAAAGGGTCAGGGTTAGAGGTGACACTAGCCTGTTATTTCCTGGAGTAGATTCCTCTAGAGTCACAAGGGCTTTCATTTTATAGTTTCCTGGTTTACAAAGTTTATAGTTTCCTGGTTCACATATACCAGCCCACTCAGCACCTCCACTCTCCCTCTCTGTGCCTGGGGGACTGCATTATGCTTTCATTTTACAGAGGAGTGAAGTCTCAAGGCAGCACAGCTAGCCTGTGGGCTTTTTCTTAAGGTTTGTGTTCCTGAAATCTGTCCCAGAAACTGTTCCATTGTCTGCTGCTTCCTCATAAGGGACACAGGTGTCCTCAGTACCACCCAGTAACCGCTCTGGTGGGCACTTCTGTTCTCACCAGGAGCCGCAGAGCAGCTGGTGCTTTGGTCCAGCAGAAAGCAAGATGCCCCTCCCTTGACCTGCCCTTGCCAGACTTTATTTCATTATAGTAGGGTGATGGGCGGTGCCTGGGCAGAGGCTCAGAAGAGGGTCACACGCGGGCCCAGCAGTTCACATCCTTCGCCCCAACAGCTCCTTCTTTCCCCTCCTCCTCTCCCTCTTTTGCTTCCCTTCTTTTCTGGTTTCATTTTGGGCAAGTGCTTCAACTCGGTCAGGAAGAAAGATAAAGCTCTCGGTCTCACTTCAGACCCAGCCGTGTCTCTTCTCCTCCCTGGGCCTCACTTGTCTTGCTTGAAAAATGGAGTTCATTCGCTGTGCCCTGAAATAGCGAAGATGCTCTAGGTACTCAGAGGAGGAGGACAAGAGAGGGGGAGAATAAAAAATGATCTAGCAGATATCCAAAGACACCGTAGGCCATTTTGGAGATCTCTGCAGTTCTCTTAAAAAAAAGAAGAGGACTCATTTTCCCTAGTGGGTAGCAGACACCCAAGCAGCCCCTGCCCTTGAAACAATAGTGCCAACCTCTAGCCAAGAGACCAGGAGACCTGTGCACACAATGAACAGGCAGGATATGGAGAGAATCCTCAGAAGGGGCGGCCCTGGCTTCTGCAACCGGCTTCTTTGGTGGGCGATGGAGGGAAAGAGGAGGCCAGACGCGACAGGGACTGAGAAGCAGCCAGCCCCTCAGCCTGCTTGCAGGTCCCTTTATAGGGAGCGCACACTCCCCTAGCCTTGGCAGCTGGGGTGCCCACACTCACCATGCTGGTTCTGTGGCGGTCCAGTTTTCCCACAGCCTGGAGCTGAGATCTTCAACCGAAGGCCGGAGGAGGCCTCCTGGGATGGGCCCTGCTAGCCAGCAGGGCAGCACAGGCTGGAAACCTAAGTGTGGGGCCAGCCTCAGTCCCTCATGGCCAGCAGCATCCTGTCTCCCAGCAAGCAGCCACTCTGTTGCTGTATTCCAGGAGTGATTTGAGGACTGTAGGGCTGGTCATTAAAACAATCCTACAGGTGAAGTTGCCAAACTGGAATGATTATGTATCTTGTAACCTGACACCATCTTAGGGGCAGGAACACCTGGAGTCATTCATAAGCCCTTTGGCCTCCTCGGAACAGGTGACACACCTAGAACGGCTGCCACCCAGCTGGCCGGGTGTTGATGGAAGACTCTCTCCTGGTTGCGTGACTTCTCATCGTGTGGGTGATTTTGTTCGGGGTTGCAGAAAGTTGGAGGAGTCTGGGGTTGGGATGGCAGAATTTGCTGCTCCCTAGAATGGGACTGTTGCCACGTGTGGAAGAACAGAATTGGAAAATTCATGGAGAAGGAGTGGATTTCTTCCCTCAGGGGTGCTCTAGTCCCTTCCCGGGACTCCAAAAGCCCAGCTGCCCAGGACAAGACTATTATACAGTATACCGGCCAGTGTCTCCTCCAACGGCCTCATTGGCTTGTTATGCTTTTTGAAAATTGCTGTTCATGTTGTGCTAGAGCCCAGATCGCTCCTTTACAAACTTCTGATTTTGTCCCACTACGTCCTGATGGCCGCAGCTGCCCATACCTGAGGGATGTGCAAGATGAAACCTGGGAACTGTAAGACCGTAGGATCCACTGCCATCTCTCCATTCCGTGGGCAGTGAAACTGAATTTTAGAGACGCAAAGCCCAAGGTCACAGAGTAACCTAATGTCTGATTCTGAACAAACCCAGATCTCTCATTTCTTGGCCCTGCATGTCCTGAGAAACTAGCTTAGATTAGACATGTGCATCAGCCCACCTGTTGAAAATGTGCGTCTGTATCTCCTCTCTCATCCTCACAATATCCCTGTGAGGGGGAGCACTTGCTTCCACTTGAGAGTTGAGGAAGCCACACCTCACGGAGAGGAAGAGGTTCCTGGCAGAACTGGGATTGAGGTCTGGGTTTCCTCTCACTGGCAGCCTGGGTGTATGGTCCATGGCCCATAGTGGACCCCAGGGGCATCTGAGCAGGAGGAAGAATTCCTTGTAGATGTAATTGATTGTGCCTGATCTCAGCCAACCAAGGCCAGATGTTTAGGCTCCTGATTATACGTGGCCACAGCTCTTCCCCCAGGGCAGTGGGCATTATTGCAAGTGGAGGGCAGTGCTGAGAGCCCGTGAGGTCAGAAGAGATGACTTCAGAGCACAGGCTCCGAGAAGCCCCATCCTTTTAAGGATGACTTTGCCAGTGAGCCACCCAGGGCAGGCTTTCCCTTACCTTGGCTCCTCTAGGTGCCAGAACAAACACGTGGCCCACAGGTTTCCATTTCCTCATCTGGTGCTCAGGCGAACAGGGAAATAGGCAGCTGCCTGGGCAGGATGGCTGCTGGGCGGGGCTGGTTGAAAGACGATTTCCCGGCTGCCTTCCCTCCAGTTCTGGCCCCAGACCCAGGTTGAGTCCAGGAAAGGTAGCATATGGGCAGTTTGGGCAGGCTGCTGGATACCCAGAGGAAGAGACTGAAGGTGACGGGTCAGGAGGCTGTGAGGGCAGAGAGCAGAGGCCAGCTTCTCCCGGGTGCCAGGGGCGAGCAGCTAGGCCAGAGCCACGTTCGCTACGAGGAAGAGTCTCTCTTTTCCTTTTGTCTTCCTTTTCCCAACAACTTTTCCTCTGCCTTCCTTCTGTTTCCAGCAAGTGGTCAGAGTCAGGGGCAGAGTTACCATGAACCTCGAGCTTTAGAACCCCTCCTCGGCATGCAATAGGAAAGGTCCCAGCAGTAGATTCTCATGGGTGTATGTTTTTGTAACTTTTGCAGAAGTTTTCAGTATACTTTTTGTAGAAAGGTTCCTCAAAATATATAAGCTTCAAGCCTCACACAACCTGGATCACCCTTGGTAAGAGCATGGGTTCTGGTAGCCATGAAGTCTTTTTTTTTTTTTTTTTTTGGTACTGGTGATCGAATTCACAACCTTGCACTTGTCACACAGGTACTTGTGCTGCTGAGCTAAATCCCTGGCCCTAGCCTGAAGCCCTGGCTCCTAACTGATAGAACTGTGGGGGACTGGCGGTGACTGAAAAGATAAGAAGTATAAAATATAAATGACCTTTATTTTGAGAATGCGGGGAGACACACCCCCGATCCCCTGGGGTGTGGCATCTCCTCTGGGGTCGGTGATCTCTCCGAGGAACACGTGGAGGGAGGCACATAAGTAGCCTCGGTTTGGGGTGGAACCTAAGGGGGAATTAGGGATGCACAGGTAGCCCATTGGTCTTTGTTTGGTGCCATAGGTAAATTCCTAGGGGTGGGGGAGATAGGAGCTCCTTGGTTCTGGCTGAAGCTTTTCCAGCTACAGTGTCCAGCCTGGGCCAAAACTCTTTCATATCCCATCTTATGATTATTATTATGAAAAGGGGCAAAGATTTCTCTCTTTAACTGCTTCCTGCTGGCAGAGGGCACTGTACTGGAGCCTAGGGGAGTCACGGGATGATGGTTGATGCCCATGTAGAAGCTAGTGCCAGGTGTTTTAGCCAGGACAACTTCACTGGTGAATGCACGTATGTTAGATTGGAAAAACAAAGAGACAAGATGTTATGAGGAGGTATGGCACTATCATATTTAAGGATCCAGGTGAGGTAGAAGGAAAGGTGCTTTTGATTTAGACGTGTCATTATATCAGGATAATGTTGAAGTAGAAACATTTCCATGGTAAGGCAGAATTCTGAAAATTAAACATGGGGTTAGGAGGAATGAAGTTATGAGAGGTGATTACTCCCCCATCTGAAACGGTAAAAGTTAAAAGGGTAGGTAGGTAAGGCTTATCTCTGGTATGCATAACATTGGAGTCCTTGGAAATATGGTTAAGAGTCCTGCTGTAAAAAGAATAAGAAATTAGAAACCAAATTGGATAACAAAACATGACTTAGCCTGAGAGTCGTGGCTGTGAGGCCTTGGTAAGGCAGAGCTGAGTAGGCAACAGGATGGTTAGATCTAGGGCCTGAGTGACGCAAAACCAGAATGACAGTCTAGCAATGTTGATCACTGTTGAGGTTGCCAAGAATATCAGGTATGGGTGGCTGTAACCTGGTTGTAGTCCTTGGAATGATTTGCTGTAACAGGACTTTAGCAAGTATATCAGCAGTTTCCCTGGTTGTGGGAAAGGCTTTTCTGTATCTTGAAAAAACAAAATGAGAAGACAAAATGTATCTGTCAGCCTTGACCAGGGTTGCCTGAGAAATTGGTGAATAAGAAAGGAAGGAGGTGGTCTTATATCACTGAGGAGAGGTTTACTAGTGATAACAGGTGGAAGCTGTTGAGGCCTTACTGTGTCCAAGTTAGCCTGTATAAACACAAGGGAATAAAAGCATTTTAAGATTTAGGACTGGGACCTGCACGAAATAGGCCCTGTTTATAAATGGCATAGGTTGACCTTTAATACCTCCTAGAGATTTGAGGACTTAATATAGCAGCCTGAAAACTCAGGAAGAACTCTGTACATATGGCCTCTATGTCCACAAATACAGAGAATGTCTTACTTGAGACTTTAGTGGAACTTGGACTCTGAGACGGACACCAATAAAGGGGGCTGCTTTTGGCCCTGAGCCCCGTCAGTCTTTAGCAGCAAGTTTAAGCAGATCTGTTGGCGATGAATCTGGCAGTGTTGACATTTCCTGTGAGGGATGGAAGTTAGGATGGCTTATCCACTCTCTGGTGGCTAGGACAGTCCAGTAGCCCTGGGGTAAGGTCTCAAAGAACGCCAGGATGGGGCACTCTCTTGCCCAATGTCTTCTGCTGCATTTGAGCATGGTCCATGGTGGGGCCTGGGCAGCTCCACCTTGTGTCGGTTTACCTGTCTCAGGACTCCAAGTGTCACAAGTGTTGTTTCTGTTGTTGAAAACACAAAAAGCCATATTAAGATCTCTATGAAGTTTGAAGGTCAAATTTTGCCTTTTTGTTGTGGGATCTGGACTACAGTAGAAGGTATCTGTACAATTAAGTAAGTATACAGGAGTTAAATATAATCAACAGGGTATTTATGAGTTTAGCAATGCAGATAGGTTGGGAAAAGGTTTAAGTTTGGCTTCTGCCGCAGTGCTGGCCCTGCTGCCCTCTTTGAGCGGCCTGTAATGTAAACATGGTTTTGGCATTCCAGATCAGAGAGCAGGCTTCATCGGGATGGCACACTGCTTTTTTTCCAGGGTGCCGTGTGGCAGGCCATTGTTTTACTGAAATTACATACTTAACAAAAAAGGCTTCAGTCTGCCCTCCCCCTTTTGGAGTATAATCTCATTTTAATGGAAACATTGTGCAGTAAAGATTCACCAATCTTATGAATAAATCTACCAAAACTGATCTAATACTGTCAAATTCTGAACACATTTACTTCTTTTCAAACCTCTTATTTGCAGTACTATAAACCAAGACAAATAAAATTCACATCCTCTCGAGCTTTCTACAACTTACTATATACCCTCAAGTTGAGCTTTTCCTCTTGCTTTTCAGACAACATTAAATCTTTCTACAAAACCCTTGAAGTAATTTTCTTTCAGTAGTCTAAAATATGTTTAATCATTTCATGTGTTTTTACCACCTTCCTTGTTTTAGAAAAGAGCTAGTGGTTCCCAGCAAAAGGAATTCATAACATAGAACATCACCAAAAGGAATTTACAGCAAAAGGAATTTATACCTCTTAATTGTAGTACAGTATAGAACATTACTGGTGGTTTATAGCAAAAAGGAGTTGAAAAATACCAGGAAACACCTCTTAGTTTTAGTTGTTAAACATTTAGGACATTACTGAGGTCTTTAATTGATACACAAGGCTGGTAAAATTACCAGGTGGCCACTGTCCCACGTTTATCAGCCACAGTCTTGTTTAATGCCAACTTATTTAACCTTGATTAAATTGGTTTAAGAATTTAAAAAAAATAACATCTCTGAGTGGAGCCGCCGAGCTGCTGTTTATGTGTTTGTGTTTAAAGTGGGCCTGTGTTTGGGAGGAGCCTGCCTGGGAAAGGCGCCTGCCTGGGAGATGCGCAGTGCCCAAGGCACGATGGAAGCCTGAGGTCAGGCGGGGTGAGCCCAGGGTGCGGGCATTTGTCATGG